GACTAGAGAGCGGACAGAGAGCGAGAGAGACCAGAGAGAGAGAGGGGGGAAGCAACCAGAAAGAGACCAGAGAGAGAGAGACAGGGGAAGCAACCAGAAAGAGACCAGAGAGCGAGACCAGAGAGAGGCCAGAAAAAGAGAGAGAGGCCAGAGAGAGAGAGACAGAGACCAGAGAGAGACCAATAAGAAAGAGGGGGAGCAACCAGAAAGAGACCAGAGAGAGAACAGAGAGAGAGACCAGAGAGAGAGGGAGAGACCAGAAAGAGGCCAGAGAGAGAGAGACAGAGACCAGAGAGAAACCAATAAGAAAGAGGGGGAGCAACCAGAAAGAGACCAGAGAGAGAACAGAGAGAGAGACCAGATAGAGACCAGAGAGAGAGAGAGAGAGATGCCAGAGAGATACCAATAAGAGAGGGGGGGAGCAACCAGAAAGAGACCGGAGAAAGGCTAGAGACTGAGGAGGGAGAGAGAAAAGTGAGATGAGAGAGAGAGTCCAGAGATAGGCCAGAGAGAGAGAGACCAGAGATAGGACAAAGAGAGACAGATGAGAGAGAGAGAGAGAAACTAGAGAGAGAGAGAGAGCCAAGAGCCCAGAGTGCGAGAGAGAGAGAGACCAGCTGGTGTAAAGGCTAGACTAGTGTGAGAAATACTAGTGCCTGAAGTGTTGTTTGCGTGTTTACAACGATAATATTAGCCTCATGTGTGGACGTGCTACATGTGGCGAGCCAGGAGCCAGAGTGTGTGAATGTGTGTGCGTTTGTTTTTCGACATGTTGCACACTTGCGGGTTGTTGTCCAAAATTGTCCAACTGTTTTCTCCGATCATTATTAGATTATGATTCAATTCACAAAGCGCCAAAACATTCTTATCATTTTTTACCACTTTTAGAAAAATCATTGGAACATATTTGATAGAGACTAGAGAGAGACCAGAGCGGGAGAATGGAGAGAGACTATAGAGAGGGAGAGAGACCAGAGAGGGATCAGAGGAAAGACCAGAGAGAGACATCAAAGAGAGAGAGAGACTAGAAAGAGACGGAGCAGAAAGATACAGACCAGAGGAAGACCATAGAGAGACATCAAAGAGAGACCAAAGAGAGACTAGAAAGAGACGGACCAGAAAGAGACAGGCCAGAGAGAGAGACCAGAGAGAGACCAGAGAGGGACCAGAGGAAAGACCAGAGAGACATCAAAGAGAGACCAAAGAGAGACCAGTAAGAGACAGACCAGAAAGGGACAGACCAGAGAGAGATAGATAGACCAGAAAAAGACATCAGAGACCAGAGAGAGATAGAGAGACCAGAGGGAGAGAAACCAAAGAGAAAGCCTAACCAGAGAGAGATACTAGAGAAATGACCAAATAGAGACCAAAGAGAGACCAACGAGAGACCAGTAAGAGACAGACCAGAAAGGGACAGACCAGAGAGAGATAGATAGACCAGAAAAAGACATCAGAGACCAGAGAGAGATAGAGAGACCAGAGGGAGAGAAACCAAAGAGAAAGCCTAACCAGAGAGAGATACTAGAGAAATGACCAAATAGAGACCAAAGAGAGACCAACGAGAGACCAGTAAGAGACAGACCAGAAAGAGACAGACCAGAGAGAGATAGAGAGACCAGAAAGAGACATCAGAGATCAGAGAGATAGAGAGACCAAAGAGAAAGCCTAACCAGAGAGAGATACTAGAGAAACGAACACATCGAGACCAAAGAGAGACCAGAGAGAGAGACCAGAGAGAAACAGGAGAGAGAGACCATAGTTGATTTGTGTTGATAAAGAAGAGGTGGCAGTTATCGTAGCATGTGGATTGCTCCAAGGACTACAGAGAAATGACCAGAATCTGAATTTTTACACTTCCCATAGTTCCCATAGTTACCATAGTTACCAGACCACATTATTTCACTTTGCCCTTCAAACGCATACCCACCTATATCCACAACAACCACAGCCTATTGTTACCACAGATGCTCTGTACGAACACATGGAAACACTTTATAAACCGCACTCTGCCGTTGCTTCCTCGATGATCTGACCTTTACACAGTCCATTCCCAACGTGCGGTGACGGTACGCGGTGGGAATGAGCCTCCTCTGGACTCTCGACACAGCTCTGGACTCCGGATGACACATGTAATCGTTTAACGCACGCCTCTAATTGACTTTTAATCAATGAATGTGGGGCTGCTGCCTCCTTAGCGGCGTCCTCTGGCTGCGGACGCCGTTGAATCTCGACATTTCGGCGTTCTCCAGGGACCTGTCCGTGGACCTGTGGGTTTCCTGGTCTGTCGCCGAGCGCTGGGACTGGATGTAGCGTTTGTGTGATTATTCTAGATCTACAGTATATAAGAATGAATATGTGTTTTTATATTTGAGTTTAGGGCGTAGTGTATGAGACTGGCTTTGTGTGTGTGTGTGTGTGTGTGTAAATGTGTTTATACGTGTGTGTGTGTGTGTGTGTGTGTGTGGGTTTATGTGTGCAAATGTGTGTTTGTGTGTTTATTTGTGAATATGTGTTTGTGTGTGTGTGTGTTTTTTGTGTGAATGTGTGCTGTAGAAAGGACTATAGTGGTAGTGTATGAGACTGGCTTTGTCTGTGTGTGTGTGCAAGATTATCTGTGAGTATATGGGTGAATGTGTGTTTATTAGTGTGTGTGTGTGTGTGTGTGTGTGTGTGTGTGTGTGTGAGAGAGAGAATGTGTGTTTGTATGTGTGCATTTATTTGTGTGTCTTGGGTGCGTGTATGTGTGCATGTGAATATGTGAATGTGTTTGTGTGTTTGTGTGAACGTGTGTTTATTTACTGTATGTGTATGTATGTGTGTGTGTTTGTGTGTATACTTGTGTGTGGGTGGATGTGTGTTTTTGTTTATGGGTGTGTGTATATGTGTATATGTCTCTGTGTGTGTATGTATGTGTGTGTGTTTGAGTGTATATGTGTATGTGTCTCTGTGAGGGTTCCTTTTACAGAACACATGGCTAGGTCAGAAAGGGCGTTTTCAGAAGTTTTTCATTAAAAACTCTCAGTAGAGAAAACAGTGGGAAATTACAAAACACGTATTTACAGAGCACAGTGAAAAGTCTTCAGGCGAAAAGGATATTTACAAATAAAAATACACGACTTCTGCAATAAGTTAATTTTCCCTATACTTTAACACTCGCTCCTGCAGTCCACGTTACCTTCACTGTAACCGAGTCACGACTGCCATGGGGCAGACAAGCACACCTTATGTACCCCGCCGGCCCCTCCCACGTTACAAAAGCAATCATCCTAATAACCAACCATATCTAAAATACATGGCGCTTTCCTTAGGTTCATGATTTCACATTACAATTCTACATTGACACATATACAATAAAATAAATTAGGAGCACACTACGAAGAGTCCAAATGTCCATGCAAATGAGCTGTGGTCACATGACCCAGACAGGTGCACTTAAGCGACTGGCTCCTTATGTCCGGGTTTGCCAAAACGCACCATGGCAGCACACAGGCGAGTGAATGACACATGTAACAGATTTAACACACCATGCAACGCTTCCAAGAGTGCACCCTGAAGATGCGTTCACGCACGCTACATGTCACAAACACAGTCCCTATACTAGCAGTAGTCAATGAACGGGTTTGGGCGTTGCGCGCAGCCACCATGGCACCGGGCGCGCGCATCTTCACATGCGCTCCGTGGGACAGCGTGCTCAGGGACGGGCTCACCCCGTCACAGTCTCTGTGTGTGTACTAAATATAACAATATATCAATAATGTGCATTCGTGTTGTCATGTGTGTAATGTGTAGTGTTGTGTTCACACGATGTAGATCAATAATAATAATAATAATAATAATAATAGAATTGTATCAAACTTGAAAGACATGAATATGACATGTTTAAACCGACTCAGACAAACAGCACAGAAGGAGACGGGGAAAGAAGAAAGTTAAAAAATAATTATTAAAATATTGACAAGCGACACAATCCACACGTCAACGACTCACAACCTTCATCTTCAAGACTCAGATGTTCAAAACTATTGTTAGTCACTTTTAGAATGACATATTTATTCATGTTCGTGTGGACGGATGTGTTTGTCCGAGTTTATTTATTATCCATCTATAAATAATCACAGTACATTAAAAAGAGTGAAGATAAAATCCTTTATCCTTGTTTTTATCCTTGAAAACATTGTCAGAGAAGAAGCCTGTCTCACATTTTGATTGATTGACTGATTTTAGCTGTAGGAATCTGAAACACAGCCTCTCCATGTTTAGTCCTGACTCTGGGACCAGCAGGAGGCCAGTCCCTGTGCTCCTCAGAGTCCCAGCAGGAGACCAGTCCCTGTGCTCCTCAGAATCCCAGCAGGAGGCCAGTCCCTGTGCTCCTCAGAGTCCCAGCAGGAGGCAAGTCCCTGTGCTCCTCAGAGTCCCAGCAGGAGGCCAGTCCCTGTGCTCCTCAGAATCCCAGCAGGAGGCCAGTCCCTGTGCTCCTCAGAATCCCAGCAGGAGGCCAGTCCCTGTACAAACTAAACTCATTCATTCAGTTGCTTTAAAAACATATATATTCCTCCTCTGTTTTCCTGGGCTGCCATGTCTTCCTGCTCTGTGCCTGCTGGTATAAGGAGCACATTCCTCCTGCTCCATAAGTTCCTTAAACTCCCATTTGGCTTCATTTGCTTTTGGTAATTGTGTCATGGAGCTTCTGTCTGGATCTAATGCGGTCCTGGTCCCACGGCCCCGGGGCCTCGGCTTCTCTCCAGTCTTGGTCTTTGTGGGTCCATGACTGTGTTAAAGGATCTGACATTGGTACTTCATCAGTTTTAGACACACAGAGAGAGAGTGGAGTGTATTACAGAGTTACATATATGTGGTTTGAAAGTTACATACCCGAGCTTTAAACCCGAGTCTGTCTTATTCCATGTCCTTGAAAAGTCTCTTCCACTCGTCCTCATATAGACTTCGATGTTATCTTTTTACTCGTTTTCTCGCTTCTGCGTTTGAAGGACATTTGATAATCACTGGACACAATACATGTCGCAGCAGCAGCCTTGGACCTGCCCCAGCTCCTCCACTAGCCCCTCACTCACCTCCTCCACTAGCTCCTCAATCACCTCCTCCACTAACCCCTCAATCACCTCCTCCACCAGCCCCTCACTCACCTCCTCCACTAGCCCCTCCCTCACCTCCTCCTCTAGCCCCTCAATCACCTCCTCCACTAGCCCCTCACTCACCTCCTCCACTAGCCCCTCACTCACCTCCTCCACTAGCCCCTCACTCACCTCCTCCACTAGCCCCTCACTCACCTCCTCCACTAGCCCCTCACTCACCTCCTCCACTACTAGCCCCTCACTCACCTCCTCCACTAGCCCCTCACTCACCTCCTCCACTAGCCCCTCACTCGCTTCCTTCACTAACCCCTCACTCACCTCCTCCACTAACCCCTCACTCACCTCCTCCACTAGCCCCTCACTCGCTTCCTTCACTAACCCCTCACTCACCTCCTCCACTAGCCCCTCACTTACCTCCTCTCCTAGCCCTTCACTCACCTCCTCCTCTAGCCCCTCACTCACCTCCTCCACCAGCCCCTCACTCGCCTCCTCAAATGGCCCCTCACTCGCCGCCTCCACTAGCCCCTCACTCGCCTCCTCCTCTAGCCCCTCACTCGCCTCCTCCACTAGCCCCTCACTCACCTCCTAAACTAGCCCCTCACTCACCTCCTCCATTAGCCCCTCACTAAAGTCCTCCACTAGCCCCTCACTCACCTCCTCCACTAGCCCCTCACTCACCTCCTCCACTAGCCCCTCACTGGCTTCCTTCACTAGCCCCTCACTGGCTTCCTTCACTAGCCCCTCACTCGCTTCCTCCACTAGCCCCTCACTCACCTCCTCCACTAGCCCCTCACTCGCTTCCTCCACTAGCCCCTCACTCGCTTCCTCCACTAGCCCCTCACTCGCTTCCTCCACTAGCCCCTCAGCCGCATCCTTCACTTGCTCCTCTCTCACCTCCTCCACTACTTCCTTATCTAGCTCCTTGCTCGTCTCCGACACTAGCTCCTTCTCTAGCTCCTCACTCACCTCCTTCACAAGCCTCTCGCTCGCTTCCCTCACTAGCTCCTTGCTCACCTCCTCCACTAGCTCCTCACTTTCCTCCTCCACTACCTCCTTCACTAGCTCCTTCTCTAGCTCCTTGCTTGCCTCCTTCACTAGCTCCTTGATAGCCTCCTTTCCTCTCTCCTATCCTCGCCCCTTTGCTCATCTCCTTTCCTCGCTCCTTCCCTCGCCTCCTTTCCTGGTGTTATCGTCCTGGAAACGCGTGAGAAGACAGCGTGTCTGAGGCAGAGGTCAGTGTGAGATAAACAAGTCTGAACTGGAGCCAAACTCAATTCAAAAGGAGACTCCACGCTCCGCGGCGAGAGTAGGAACAGATACGAGGAGCAGAAGGAGACGCAGATGAAAACAGCTGCTTTCAACACGTTTGGTTCGATGGGACGAGATTTGGACATGAGAGAGACACAACCATGTGGTCTGTGGATGAAAAGACAATTCTTATCTATGCAAACACAACATATGTGGCTTCTTTGGTGTCATTTCACCTTCATCTCTCCCAGCTCCGTGTAACTCATGTGAAAGGCAAGTTTATTTGTGTAGCACAGTTCATAAACAAGGCAACGCAAAGTGCTTCACTAAACAATCACACAAGGCATTACAGACAGTCGTAAAAACTCACACTTCATCAACAAGAGTGAAGATAAAATCCTTCAGTTGTTGCAGATAAACAGAACTGTGTTTAAGACTGTTATAGATTTTAGCTGCCTCCATATGTTTAGACATTTGTTAAGACCAACGTAAGCATATCCAAACCTTTATCAATTATATATACATTTATGGACATTGGTCACCCGCCCCTTATGGACTAACAGCTCCTTGCGTTTTTCTTTCATTTCCTGTGTTAAAACTTTAGACTGTATATATTAACGGACGTAGTAAGTAAGTAAGTAATCTTTATTTATAGCACATCGGAGTTTCAAAGCGGTTTACAATTGTGATTTTTGGGAGTGGGGGTGCCAGTACAGGAGGCACATGCCAGACCTATTGTACATATTTTTAGTGGTAGGGGAAACCGGAGCACCCGGAGGAAACCTATGCAGACAAGGGGAGAACATGCAAACTCCACTCAGAAAGGCCCTGGTCCAACCGGGATTCGAACCCAGGACCTTCTTGCTGAGAGGCGAGAGTGCTATCCACTCAGCCACCGTGCCGCCTACGAACTGCGGATATACGTGACACCTATATCCGCAGTTAAATTAGGCTCTCATGGATTGATTCAAAATGGCCGCGGGGGCTGGAAAATTTGAAAAAACGCATCTGTGCATGCGTCAGCTGCACGAGCCCCATTCATTTAAACGAGTGACTTAAAAAATTCACGCGACTGAACTAGACTGGTCCAAAAAAATTCACTCCCTTCAGCATTGACACACATGTGGAACGGAGCTTTGGGCCAAGAACCAAATTTTGGACCATCCTGTAAAGGTGTTTTTGAGAGGTCTGCCAATGCTATATGTTAGCATTGGCTAATTCTTATTCCGGGTCCACCCCCATCGGCCCGGGGTGGTATTGCAGCATGTCAGCGCACGTCATTTTGAGCCGGGACCCGCCCCCATTGTTAAAACCATAGACTCTAAACCTTTTATTGGATGTGGTCACACCTATCTCCGCCGTTGAAACTAATGTGCCATCACTTTTGGCTTCTATGGGGATTTTTCAAAATGGCCGCGGGCAGCCCCTCCCGCAGGAAAATGAGCATTTGCGCATGCCTCAGCCAGCACCAGCTCCATTCATTTAACGAGTGCATTCTGAAGTCCACGGCGGCTAAACTAGTCTGGTCCCAAAAAAAACCACCCCCCTCAGTATCAACAGCATCTGGGCCAGAGCAAATTTTTGGACCGTTTTTGAGAGGAAAGAAGACGCCATACACAAGCATTGGGTAATTCTCTTTCTGGGTCCACCCCCACTGGCCTGGGGTGGTATTGCAAGTATGTCAGCGCACATTATCATGGATGTTTTGAGCCCGGACCCACGCCCACTGGTTTGAACTGTTTAATTCTCTGATCTGTGTTGGCAAATCGGTTCTCCGAGATAACTGCTGTTGTGGTTTTATGGACATACAAAAATAAATTGATTTGAATCTTAATCTTAGTCATCCATGAATTAGGACCTCATCTCAAATGTTTGCCACTGGTCCTCGGCCTTCAGCGTTGTCTACTCTCTCTCCATTGTGGTTGTATTTTTACCAAACGACTTGATGATGAATATGTTTTAATTCTCAGTTTGTGTTGCTCCTTGTTTTCCCAATCAAACTCATCGCTGTTTTCCTGGCGTTTTTGAAAGGACTGGTTTCACCGATGTGGCGAGTGAGAACAGACAGGAGCAGCGGCTTTGATTCTCACCACTCTTTAAGAACAAAGAAGACACATTTAGTCAGTCTCAAAATACGTTCAGAGAAGAGTTATTTTTGTCATTTTTGAGACACAATTATAGAAAAGAAGCTAAATGTTGCAGAATACTCTCTCATGGTGAAACAGGGAGTAGTAATATCCGAATACATTGGATTTCTTTGTATTTTGTGTCTATGGTGCAAGGAATGGACTTTAAAGAAGACATGTGATGCTTTTGTTTTGGCCAAAATATTAATTAGACTCTCTGCTTTGCCATTTTCATGTTTTAGAATATGAAAAAAATATTTTTTACTGAATTTATGGTGAGTTATGTAAAAAAGGTGAAAATAAAAAATACTTGTGCGTGTAACTCCCTTTGCTGCCACCAGAGGGAGCAGGAGAGCAGGAGACCAAAGACCAGAGCGAGACTAGAGAGAGACCAGAGAGACAGAACCATGAGAGAGACCATAAAGACATTGAAAATTGAGAGATAGAGACAAAAGAGAGAGACCAGAGAGAGTCTAAAGACCAGAGAGAGAGACAAGAGAGAGACTAGAGAGAGACCAGAGAGACAGAACTATGATAGAGACCATAAAGACAGAGAAAACCTAGAGATAGAGACAAAAGGGAGAGAGACAAGAGAGAGACTAGAGAGAGACCAGAGAGAGACCAAGGGACCAGAGAGATAAACACATGGTTAAACTAGTGACAGAACCAAACAGTTTTAGAACCAGTTAGAAGCGAGACGTTTGATTGTATCACATAGTTCTATTGTCTGTAGTTTGAAAGTTACGTACCTCAGCTTTAACTCAAAACACTGACTCATACTTGAGCGTAAAACATCCCAATCCTCAGCCTCCGAAACAAAGACACTGCATTCATTAAACTGTTTTTCTTCTCCGTGGAAATTAGAACAAGACGAACGATCCATTCTGCAAATTCATTCTTTCGCGGTCGTCAAATCTGTCTCCGTCTGTTTCCTTCCAATTTTCTCCCAAACTTTAACAATCTCACAATCCGCCGTTTTGGGTCTTTGCGGAATCAGTGATATTTATGGATTTTATCAACATTGTCTCTCTCTCTGGTCTCTCTCTGGTCTCTCTCTGGTCTCTCTCGGCTCTCTCTGGTCTCTCTCTGGTCTCTCTCTGGTCTCTCTCTGCTCTCTCTGGTCTCTCTCTGGTTTGTATCTGGTCTCTCTCATGTCTCTCTCTCTGGTCTCTCTCTCTGGTCTCTTTCAATGGTCTTTCTCTCTGGTCTCTCTCTTTCCTCTTTCCTGTTTTTGAGCTGTTTGATTCTCTGATCTGTGCTGGAGAATCGACAAGACGGATCAATATTGTCCTTTGAGATGTCTACCACTACGGCTTTAAAAGATTATAGCTTTTAACATTGTGTAGGAAGAGACACAGGGATATGGTCTCTCTCAAACATGGTCTCTCTCTGGTCTCTCCCTAGTTTCTCTCTTGTCTCTCGCTCTGGTCTCTCTCTGGTCTCTCTCTGTTCTCTCTCTGGTCTCTCTCTGGTCTCTCTCTGGTCTCTCTCTGGTCTCTTTCTGGTCTCTCTCTGGTCTCTTTCTGGTCTATCTATAAATATCTTTTAACATCATGAAGCAAGGGACACAGGGATATGTTTGTGTATTTTCCACATGTAAATTTCTCCAGTGTGAGATCATTAAAGTCTATCTTATCTTGTCTGTTGATAAGCCGAGGCTGTCTTGAATTTGCTTTACAAATAAAGATTGATTGAATTGAATTGAAACTGAACAAGGGCGTTCGAAGTTCATTTTAATATTGTGGCGACGGAGAAGTGAGACAGGTCGTAATCTCAGGATTTCAGCACGTAAAGGCTTAAGGCACAGTTTCTTACCTTTTTCTTCACACGGCTGTGATCGTCGGGCTGCGTTTCTGTTTTGTTTCACTCTGGAGGCCATTAAAAAAAAAAAAAACTTTGGGTCTCTCTCTCAATTCTCTCTCGCTAGTCTCTCTCTCTGGTCTCACTCTGGTCTCTCTTTCTCGTCCCTCTAGTGTCTCTCTCCAGTCCCTCTATTTAGTCTCTCTCTTTAGTCTTTCTCAAATCTCCTAGTGGTCACTCTCTCTCGTCTCTCTAGGGCCTCTCTCTGGTCTCTCTAATCTCTCTCACTGGTCTCTCTCTGGTCTAGCTTTAGTCTCTCCCACTGGTCTCTCTCTCTGGTCCCTCTCTGGTCCCTCTTTGGTCTCTCTGTGGTCTCTCTATGGTCGCTCTCTGGTCCCTCTCTGGTCCCTCTCTGGTCTCTCTGTGGTCCCTCTCTGGTCCCTCTCTAGTCCCTCTCTGGTCTCTCTCTCTGGTCTCTCTCTGGTCTCTCTCTGGTCCCTCTCTAGTCCCTCTCTGGTCTCTCTCTCGCCTCTCTCTGGTCCCTCTCTGGTCTCTCTATGGTCTCCCTCTGGTCTCTCTCTGGTCCCTCCCTGGTCCCTATCAGGTCTCCCTCTGGTCCCTCTCTGGTCCCTCTCCAGTCCCTCTCTGGTCCCTCTCCAGTCCCTCTCTGGTCCCTCTCTGGTCTCTCTGTCTCTCTGGTCTCCCTCTGGTCTCTCTCTGGTTTGTAATCACTAAATAAGACTATCTCTTGAGCCACATGCCTGCATTATTGACGGATGGGAGCAGTGCCACATGGTTCAGTGGCCCTGCTCCGCCGATGGTTGCTTCTCGGCCTTCTGTAAATTAGATGTGGTATTTTTGTCCTCGCTTGAAAGACTTTTGCTTCTGGCTTTTCTCCGTCTGCTCAAACTCAAAGACAAACGCCGTCCTTTCTTTCTCTCTTTCTGTGGAGAGAGACTTCAAGATGGCCGCCGCTGTTTATGACCCAACAAACGCTCCGAGGGCAAGAAGTTTACGAGCAGAAAGTTTCTCTGTATTCGTCTCATTATGCCGAGGCTTTGACGAGAAAACTGCAGACAGGACTTTGAGCTGGAAAAGTAGCTCTAAACTATACACTGGAGGAAACTCTGGTCTCTCTCTGGTTTCTCTCTCCAGTCTCTCTCTCTGGTCTCTCTCAATGGTCTCTCTTTCTGGTTTACTCTCTCTGGTATCTCTCCGGT